TATATCTTTTATCATAAACAGGGTCTACAAATTTGAGGTTTTTTTTGTCATAAACAGGGTACCCCTTTCACAAAACTCAGCGAAACACCCCTACCCAAATTCTGGCGGAATTCCCGCCGGGGGCAAAGGTGAGGCTACCGCTCAAGATAGTGCAGGCAACCGTGAAGGGGACTATTGATTCACATGCTTCTCGTATATTTCTGGTCATTATTTTTACAATATATTTAGCATTTTACACAGATTGGTCCTGGTCTTAGTAACTTCTCACTGGGTGAGTATATTTTGAAACATTGGTCCAACCGTAACTTTAAAATGCACAGCTTTCATTCTTGTGCTTAAGCTTTATCCCCAAAGCTCTTCCCTGCTGAATTTAAAACCCTCCCTGGCATCAAGTTTAATAGTTCATACAAGAACTCGTAAGAAGCCTTATTGAAAAATTCCTACTGAATAATTAATGAGCATTTGAAAGAGTATTAAATTTTGTTTTTATTGTAGTGATTTCTTCAAATGTTTTAGGGATTGATATTTAGCTTACCACAAATAAAACTAATAGTAATAAAATATATCACAATCACTTTTTTAAATAAAGCAAAATATGTGTTTGTCTTAGCAACAGGTCTAGAATTCTTCTCATGTCTCAAGTTCATTGATGGGTTACAAGCATTCCCAAGAAAGACAAAACGTCAAAAGACAAAAAGTCAAAAGACAAAAACCTGGCCATATTTTTCAAGATTTTCAAGACTCAGACAGTAAGGCTTTAGTGATCTCAGGAGCACATCCCCATCAACATCCCCATCAAAACTGACCCAAGTGTTCCCTTCCTCCACCCACCTGCCCGGTTAGATATGATGTCACTCAGTCTTGAGAAGGTTCAGTTGTCTCGTGAATAGTTTCAATGCCATCAGATATACATACTGAACCAGCACAGTGATAAAAACCCTCTTCATCTTTTTCATGGTTCATGGAACACAATAGAACTTCACTGACTGTCTCTTTTCCAAGCTCACAGTCAAGCCATGAAGTATAGCTTTCTGGTGGGATTTTCTTAAGCTTTCTTTTTCTTTTCTTTTGCATACGTGAGAGTTTCGTGATTGTAAGGTGGGGGGTAAATGGACGATCATCTGTTGATAAGATTCCATTCTTCTCATAGTTGTTTCTAACAACTGTAGCCAATAACTTTAGCTTCTCCACTTCCTCCTCATTGTTCATTTTGCCAAAAACAACTTCATTTCTAAAATGTGCAAGTTCCTCAAAAGTCATTGACAAAGATTCATCAAAAAGATCCTTAAAATCCCTTTCACAACTTTTGAGAACTTCAACTGCTTTTTCTACCTCTTCTGTCTGTAGATGCATGACCATGAGTGTAATATGTAAAGTACTAATAGGAATCAAAGCTGGTTGTAGTAGCTTATCAAAGTTCACCATAGAATCCTGAATGACTTTTACAGACGAGTGAATTGTAGGATTTGACACTCGAACTGCTACAAAGTAGTTGGGTCTTGTCTTTTTTGGAATTAATTCATGGTCACTTTCATCTTTACTTTCATTCTCTTCTCTTTGCTTTTTTATTTTCTTTCTTTCTTTACCCTTCTTGCTTTTATCTTTCTTTATAACAGCACTATCCTCCAATATGGTCGTTTCATTTTCATCTTCAAGTTCGCTGCAGCTATGCACAAGTTTTCTTTTTTTCTTTTTTTCTCTTTGTCTCCTTTCTTGTTTCTCGGATTTCTTTTTTTCACTTTTAGTAGTAGTCTTAACTTCATCAGTGGCACTGTGCAAGAAAAAATTCAATGGAATTAATAGTTCATCCTCTTCCTCTACGCTGTGTGAGTCTGATGGCTCTTCAAATTTTGTCTGACTAATGCTATGCTCTTCAAGTATTTCTTCATTTATCGTGCCACCAGTTAGGATAAGAGATGTAGCTGAGATTTGCTCTGTATAATGGCTGTCCGACTCTGTTGTTTCATCTATGCTGTCTTCTTGGTCTGAGGTCTCAAATAGGGTTTTTTTGGAATCCATTATTTCTTGATTCTGTTGTTTTTGTGAATGATCATTCCTATAACCATTAAAATACGTAAGAAAGGACGAACGCTCAAAAACTTCTTTTGTTACTTTACATACGCATGAAACCCAACTTTTTTCAAATGTCGGAATTCCTCCTAAATATGGATTGATTTTCTTCGAGTTTTCGTAAATGAAAGCATCGCGAATCAACGAATGAGACTTTGAACAAGATTTACTAGAGCTATTATGGTAATGACGATTTTTACGCCAAAATTTAGCAAGAAATTCTTTTGTGCTTTTCTTTGAGCAAAACAACAACCTCCTYGTTCCTAACATAGCACGTTTTGATATCTTGGGATCCCTGTGTTTTTACTAGAGCCCTGGGATATTTGGGGCTGCGGAGTCACGCATGAAAAATGAATCATCAAGAAAAGTAAAATGGCGGACGAAGGTGTTTTGATTGATCATTTTGTAAGAAAGGTAACAACTCTCTCGTTTTAAGATATACATTATTCTGTATACCATTTTAAATAAAGCTGATAGATAGTGCACAAGGGAAAAAAGTGGATTTTAAAATTATCCATCGATTCCTTCTAGATTCATAACATTTTTAGGGTCAGACGAAATTAAATGTCCCTCTCTCTGGCCCGGCTCTAGCTATAACGTTTATGTTTATGTTCTTAGAAATTATTGGGCGGCTCCAAATTAGAAGATGCCTCAGATATATATCTGTATGGTGATGTTAAAGATGCTACATATCGTGTCATAAGCTGTGTGGCCTGTACATCAACTGATAAATGCGAAAAAGAGGCTGATTACCTACCTGAAGGTACTGTATGCACGATCAAAATGGCCTGACCTAAAATCCCGATGAATCTATGGCGTTATATACAAAACATAGGATTCTATCTTGCTGAAAATCCATTTTGTTGAACCATTACCAAAAAGTAAAACATGATGCAGTGCCAAGAAACAATTTACCGGTCAATCAATCAATCGATCGATCAATCAATCATTAATTCTATCAGTCAATCAATAAATCAGTCAATCATCATTTATCAAATTAATTATACCATTGATCAAACAATTTGCCAATAAAACAATTAATGAATCAGTCAGTCCAATGGTCAATCAATCAATGTATCCATCATTCAATCAATGTATTAATCATTGTATTAATCATTGTATCAGTAAATCAAATTATCTATCAACCAAGATCAATTTATTTTCTAACAATTTATTCAAAATACAACATCAGATTACACTATAGGCGATAAGTCACAGTAGCATGATGCAAAGGTAGCTACAATTTTGTCCATATCACATGCAGGCTGCATACATGTAGTATTTTCAAATTTCATACCTTAATGTTACAGTGAAAAAATGGGATGAATTCTCATTATTCCCATGAGAGTATTATTCATGTGGCTTTTCTCAGTAACCTGTCACCTATAAAGCAATGCATAAAAGGTGGCATATTATAGACCTGYCCCTGTGACTTATTGTATAATGTGCCATCACCTTAACTATAATATTACCTTTGTCTACTTCTACTGTAGGACTCAAAATATGTGGACTTTTTAACTTAACTTTAAAATTTGAAGAACTAAGTGTATCAAAAGCCAAAGAGATAGCCAGAGATCTCTTGGATAAGGTACTTATAAATATGAAATGCTGTTGTCTTAAAAAACAAAAATAAAACTTTTACAGCCTCTTGGCTGATCAAAGTTGGGGTATGGTTAACCCACATATCAAATTGATGGTTTTGATTTTGGCATGCAGCTTCTTTTTCAGAGTCATGTTAAAAAATCATCTCATCTAGGCTAGGGGCAACTTATATAGCCTTGGTAATGGCTCATACACGATAAATCAAAATCATCATTGATAAAGACTCAATGGGTCAAATGGGAGTCCAAAGCTCTGATTGCTTTTAGTCTTTGCTGGTGATAACAACTATCTTCCCCCTTTGTTAATAAATATGTCCCAGTCAATAGTTGCCCTTTTTATAATGACGTCACAGTTTGTTTACATCAGCTAAAATGATATAAATTTAGGCTAAATTTAAGCTTAATTCTCCTCTTTCGAGATATWTAGCATAATATTTAGTTGTTCTTGCCTTCACCAGCTCATAAACCAAATTTAATTGTGATTTAAGATGTGTTGTTGTCATTCCATCCCCCTCCAGCGACCATGATCCCTAGCGTTAAAACAATAGTTTGTTTTGATGTGACGTCATTATGAAATATAGGGCAATAGAACCTACATTCTGTGATTATCGTGAATTTTGTTTCAACATTTGTTGTTAAAGTATAGTGAAACATGGGGTTTGGTAAATGCTACTTTGTTCTTTTCAGTGCTCAACGGACAATAGTTAATATTGCATTTTGAGGACATCAAAATATTTTGTAATTATATTCATAAAAATCTAAATCTTTTATTACTCATTCAAGAACATTTGGGTTTTAATTCTTCTTTTCTCATAACCTCAAATGAAATTGGTGCCCATTCAATTTAATGGTCCCAGCCAGTTCACTTGTTACTCTACTGATAAACATTTTCATTGTTTTTATTCTTATGTTTATCAGAAAGCAAGCAATAATATTAGTGAATCAATAGTGATCTGGCAACATTGTCAGTCCAGTAAAGATGATCATGGATGGCTCTACAACATTAACACAAATTGCCTCATAAAATGCAGCCTGTCCTTCAGTGACATATCAGCTTCATTTATAGAAGATAGAATAACTTTCAGGATTCAGACTTCATTTGATATACAAGTGGAATATAATTTGAGAGGTAAGACTTTTGGTGTATTAGCTAGCTCACAAGCCAAAATGTATACATTATAATTATTTTTAATCAATTTGAAACTTTTGCTTATGTGTATGAGACAGTGAATGTTAAAAATTAGCATTTTGGGGGGCAAATTTAAAAAGTGATTTCCAGGATACAAGCTTTAGAATAGCTTCTACTTTAAATATGAACATTCATAAAAAGTTACATTTGACCCTTTTCCTCCAAACAAAGGGGGGAAAACAACAAAGTTTGTTTCCTGATTTTTTAAGATATATGTATGGATAAATATATATTCAAGAAATATTGTTTATTGGTGATTAATTAATAGTGAATATTTACCAAGCCACAAGTTTTTGAGCGCTATTTTATATTCATGTGTAGGTGATTATTGAGAAATATTCCCAAGTTCTATACCAATCAGGGCATGCAATTTTCTATATATCACCTGGGTAATGATACTATTAAAGTCTCTTATTATTCCTAATTAATTCTTACAGTATTTTAATCATTTGATCAACAGCATTGAGGGATAGGCTACAAATCCTTAGCAAAGAATTAAAATCAAATTCCACTACATTTCTTATAAAAGACTGCAACTGCCTTTTGCATTGTTTTGAAAGCATGTCTAAACCAAGTCATACAGAAAAGACATGTCAGGATTTGCTGGATGCAATGATAGTTTACCTGGAAGATGACACTGAGTCTCAAGCAAACAGGAAATCTAAGTCAAAGAGAGGAACTTCAAAGACCAGTGAGAAAACAGTCATTTCACTTAAGGTAAATAAAAGACACTCCCCTTTACATTAATTAACATGTCTCTGTACTGTTTATTGCAATGGCTTGTTAGTAGAAGAGAAGGGCTGTGACGAGCACTTATTATGGCAAAAAGGGAGAACCACTGAAAATACACCCAATCAGAATGCAGGAATTCAAATTATAATATGTATATTCATCAGTATTCCACTGTTCTTTATTATTGGCTATCGTCACTGAGGTGTATATTTAATTGCATGGGGTAAAATAGTTAAACACAGCATGGCTGCCATGACAACCTAATGCTTTTTCATGACATACCATGGAATATCTTTTATTTTCTTATATAATATGCTGAAAGTATACACCAAATTTTTCAAATATTGTTAGGTTCAAATGAAGGTGCCTGGGGTGTTCTGGGTAAACTGGTAATGAGGCTAATATTATGCATAATAAATTTTTCTGCTATCAAAACTTTCATTCAAGCTACCAAACAAAGCATTCTGTCAATCTTCATACTTTTGTCTGTGCAGTGTCTGTATGCRAACACTCTCCAAATTACTGGTCAGTCAACAAATAAAGTATTAATAATTATTGATTTTTTAAATCTCAGGATGCAATAGATGTGAAGGYATTAACAAACATAACATCATCAGAAAGCAATGGATTTGTCCCAGTGATTTACATGCACAATGAAAAAGGTAAACTGAGTCCTTTATTCAAAAACCACTGAGCAACCAACATTTCATTTTCAATTTCAAGTTTGCATTTAATAGTTTAAAACCCTAAAACCACCTTAGTTTTCTGATTACTTGAATCCCTTTGCARCTTTAATAAACAACTTAGTGATTACCAATTTTGGCATAGAAGAACAGTGAATTCAAAATAATAAGTGAATCACAGCATGTGCCTTAGTTTTTCATAACCATGTTAACTTTATTGTTTCTATTTTCAGGGTATATTAGAAATGTGACAGTCTCTTTCCCTGTGGATGTGGTTGTCATGGCACTTAAAGAAACTCCAGTAGTTGAACTTACTAAAATGTTTGTCTCTGCTATCGTTAAGCAATTAAACCAAATTGTAAATACAGTACAGAAGTTTTCAAAGGTTTGTTGTTAGAGGAAGCATTAATTGTGTAGAATATATGATACTGGTAATCAACAATAAAAGCTTACCAACCACCTAACCACCACCTACCAACCACCCACCAACCAACCAACCGCCTACCAACCAACCAACCGCCTACCAACCAACCAACCGCCTACCAACCAACCGCCTACGAACTACCTAACCACCAACTACCAACCACCCACCAACCAACCAACCGCCTACCAACCAACCACCTACGAACTACCTAACCACCAACTACCAACCACCTACCAACACCTTACCAACCACCTACCAACACCTTACCACCACCTACCAACCAACCACCTACCAACCATGCAACCACCTACCAACCACCTAACCACCACCTACCAACCAACCACCTACCAACCACCTACTAACACCTTACCAACCACCTACCAACACCTTACCACAATGATTGACAACAGTGATTGAAAGGGTAAGAGGTGATCAGAAAACAGTTATGACTGCCCAGTACTTTGGTAGGATCAGAATTAATGATTATCTATGATTCCTATTATGTGCTTGTACAGTGAGTGTGCTGAGATTGATATTTATATCATCACTGAGTCAGTTTCTTTTTTTCACTGGTGGTCTTCATCCTTCATATTCACCCTATTTAATCAAACAAAGGAATGCCCAGGTTGATATTTAGTTATCAACTCCTGAGGAGGTTGATATCTAGTTATCAGCCCCGTTTTAAGAAACTTTCCCAATGATGATATAAATCAGTTATATACCTTACCTCATACCTTGGTGGATATGAGATATACAGTCAATTCAAAAAACATTGTCGTCGACCATCTCAAGCCTACACGACTGGACCGAAAGGAACTCTGGGTAGTAATCATTGAAGCCGAGTTGACTCCATAATTTTATCTGACTAGTTATGCCTGGTTTACAGCACGAACCTTCGTAGGCAAGCGGGAAGTGTTGAAGGAGACGTTTTTTTAATGCCTTCATATTTTCGAAATTGTGAACTGAATCATAACTACTTTGTTTTTCTTTCCCTCTAAACCCAAAGACATGCATTTGATGGATTGTTTCTCGCCATTATTATCTTATTACTAGCGGGAACAATTAATTCAGAACGAATATTTAACCGCTTCAGTGATTTTTACCCATATTCCTTTCGGTCCAGTCGCGTAGGCTTAAGCCGGTCGACGACAACGTTTTTTGAATTGACTGTATAACCCAAAGGCAAAGCCAAGGGGTGGAATATCTCATATCCACCTCGGTAAGGGTATGTAACCTTTACTGACAACATTTATTTCTCTTTAACATCTATTTCCTCAGGAAACTAGTTGGTGCATACCTAGGCCATATCATTTCAAACCTCCAGGGTATTGTCATGTAATGACATTAGTTTATCCTGAAATAACCAGTGAAGGGACAGTAGCAGATGATAATTATTTAGGTGAGAATATAGTTTTTTTTWATACTTAAACTTGGCTAGTATAAAACTATTGAAAACTTAAAATACCATTGATTTTTCTTCATAGAGTCCTACAGAATTGATCTTCATAAGAGGTTTTTACTTCCATTAAACAGACCTTTACTCAGAGTTTGTAATGCTTACATCTTTGACAAAGATAAAAAGCCAGGTACTCGTTTATTCAAATATCAGTATTTTAGCTAACAAATCCCATATATTAATCCACTCATAAGTAATGTATATATACAACATCAGCAGGTCCTGATCTATATGGGCATTTACAATGGTGAGCCATTTTAAGGCCCATAGGTATCTGATGCAAATATTGTATATTTGGTTGTGAACTGTGTCTTGGTGTAATTTCATGTTGTATTAAAATGTTTAAGATTGGATTGAGCTTGACTGAGAAAATGCATTTTTAAATTTCAATGAAAATGATTACAATTATGTATATCATTTACATACTTATTCTGGGTCAGTCATTTATGCTGTTTTTCCTCACTGATTATTTATAAATTATTTGATAAATATTTTTTTATGTATAGAGCCATATCTCGTCAATCCACACACTGAAATATCTTCTTCTGGGGGTAAGTTTATAAGGATAACATGATTGGGATTGCAGTATTGTCTTTATATAGACAAAATGGATAGCAAAATGATGATGATGATGATGATGATGCCAGTGATAATAAAGATGATGATAAGGATGACGACAATGATGATGATGATGATGTAATAATGTTTTAAAATATTCATAAAGCACACTATAACATGTGGTTTTTAATCACATTTTCTTACTGAGAACATTTCTATTGTTATTGTAGATGGTGCAATAGGTCTGGTGGATGGTAACTACTCTTATCATCATTACATGCAAGATAACTTTAACGATGATGTAAGTGTTATATTCTGTCAATAACTAATTTACCATACAACCCACAGACACAGTACAATAATTATTTTAACCCAGAGTTTTAGAGCTCTCTTGCTCTAGTGCATCTTGTTCATAGATTTAATTATCACAACAACAAAAGCCACTGGCATGAAAGATTCTCTTTGAATGCTATAGTTTACCACTGATCAGTGGCTGCACCCCATGTTGTGGTCCTTTCAAAATGTGCAGACATGGAAATATCAGTTCCTTTCCTAAGTTTTTCTTATATTTTTTATATGGAAACTGTGGATGCTATATTTGTGGACCCACTGACTGAGCACAAACGTTTTACCGTCTACTTGAAGAGTTTACATACTAAGATTTTAAACACTAAGAATTGGAGTAGGTTCCTTTAACCACATTAGTTAGCCACATAAGCACCCTTAATACTTCCACTGCATGCTGTGTTTGATATGAGAGAAAATGTAAGGAAGGAAAGAAAAAAGATTAATTATTTATTAATTAAATAAAATAGAAAGGATGACAGAACCATAGATGGAAACCAAAAAAAGGGATTGGATCAAACCTTCAAAGGACTGAAATTATCATAAAGATTGACTCAAATATTCTTTTTACAGAAATGGGGATGTGCCTACCGTTCTTTACAAACTATTTGTTCATGGTTCAGACATCAAGGCTACACAAGTAAACCAGCTCCAAGCCATAGAGAAATCCAACAAGCACTCGTTGATATTGGTGATAAACAGTCAAACTTTGTTGGTTCAAAGCAATGGATTGGTTCTTTTGAGGTCAGCATGTGTCTGGAACATCTGTTGGGTGTTACATCTAAGATCATGTTTGTTACCTCTGGTGCAGAAATGTCTAGCAAGGGCAGGGAACTGTTGCACCATTTTGAAACCCAAGGAACTCCCATAATGATTGGTAAGACTTAGCAATGAAAATACTCATCTATGTATACCCAGTTTTAAATTTTTTATTTCTCTAACACAAAATTAAAAGTATCTGAGTACTACATGAGCTGCCCATTCACATTCAGCAGTGTTGTTAAGATTTTTCATTCCTTAATGCTCATAAACGTCATGTAACAATATTTTTTAATGGTTTTAGGTGGTGGTGTTCTTGCACACACAATAATTGGAGTCCACTTTGATCAAGAATCAGGAGATATCAAGTAAGCATTACCATGGCAACGACAAGCATCATGAATTTTAAGGACTGCTTTATTGCTGGGTTTCAATCAGCTGAATCAGTTGAATTTCATAATCTTCAAATTGTTTTCAAACACTGTGACCACCATTAGCTGTCAACCTGAAATAGTTTTATTGAAAACTTGTGATTCCACTGATAAACATTCTACTCGAGACATGAAATGACGTCAAGTGAACCCCAGCACTTACCAAAGACCATTTAATTAACTTACGTTATCAATACCATTCGTTTTTCATGATGTAATTCTTTGTTTCCAGGTTTCTGATTCTTGATCCTCACTATACTGGTAGTGAAGACCTCAAGACCATTCTTGATAAGGTTCGTATACATTTGTAAAGAGTTTTAAAATAATTATTAACTAAGGTTGATAAAGTACTTATCTCTTTTTGGTTTTTCTTTTTTTTTTTTGTTTGTTTGTTTGTTGTGCAACATGACAGAGCTATACTTTATGAGATATTTATTAATTGCACTTTTGCTGATCCAACAGGGCTGGTGTGGCTGGAAGGGGCCGAACTTCTGGAATCAGCAAGCACATTATAATATGTGTATGCCACAAAGACCAGACATTATTTAACGGCTCTGTTAGATGATCTTGACCTAACCCGCCACCATTTCAGTAAGAGTTGACTGAGTCGTGTAGGAAATAATGATTCTCTACTTTCCAACACCCATAACACTTTGCGGCTCTGGGGGGTAACCAAAAAAAAAAGCACTTATAGGTTGCTATCAATAAACGACACTTCCGGTAATAGCTGCAATTTTTTAAGGCTTGTAGAATCTTGGAGGTTGTTTTGATCTCTTGTTTTCTGGTTTCAGCTGCTTGTTTGCTCCCCAGTCAAGTCCAAATAAGTCACGTGATTGATAGTAAGCATTGTTGAAAATACCTTGTTGGATACCCAAATAATAAATAAAACAATAAGATGCAGGGATGGAACCTTGAGGAGCTTAAATTAAAATTTAAACATTTCTTCGCAGAGCCAATGCATTTTCTGTAACACCAAAAGCTTTTACTCAAAATTCACTTAGAACGGATAACTGATAATCAGTATTTCAGTGACAAAAACAGGAATGCTATTTATTCAGTTGAAGAACGTTTCATTTTGGGACAGTTTTTTTTGTTTTTTGTTTGTTTTTTTGTTTTTGTTTTTGTTTTTGTTTAGTTACCCCCCTGAAAGCAAAGCATTATGGGCAATGGGAAAGTGGAGAATTGGCTAATAACAAAATCAATAATGATTAGCTAGAGATAAAGACCTTAAGAGCAGACAACAAATATCCCTACCAGTCTTATAACATTAATGTAACATATATGGGGTGACACATAGTCTATTACAACAGTCTGGTACACCTGTCATAAGAAGATACTTATACCGCTTTAACATTGACAAACAATYCTCACGCCTTCTGGGATTTTTTGCTTCCGTCAATCGAAATACATGTATCCTCAAAATAGTGGTCCTAATCCTTGGTGGAGGTGAAGTGGTGAATATAAGAATGGGTTCATGGTAGAAAACCATATTTGAAATTGAATCACCAATATGATTATAGAAACAAATTCATACGAATTTTTGTGTCTACTGCTTCTACAAGAAGATGTAGACACTATGCTGTCGAGTTTATAGGGTACTTCATGTTCCGCGTATTTTTATCGTGTACTAATGAAAGCCCGGGTAAGACAACGAAGAGATATCAATTTAGAAGTAATATGACTTATGTAAACTATTTATTGAATCATAATGAATACAAATCTTTAGAAATTTTAACTGTAAGCTAGCCTAATAAGTTAAAGAAGTAAAGCTAAAAGCAAAAGAGCCTACTTACTACTCTAGCATGTTCTTTGGTTTACGTCACGATGTCTTGCTCGCGGAGTACCATGGGATTGAAATGCGCGAAGCTCCCAAGTGGACCCTTCTCAAAATTGTCTTGAATGCGAGGCGAACACGAAAATACAAAAGAAATCACTTTTTTCTCAATGAAATTGTAGGCTTTTCTTTTTTATTTCCATGTTAGTCTAGCATTCAAGACAGTCTTTAAAAAGGGTTCATTTTTACGTCTTCGTCTTCTTACRAGTTTCAAGAAAAAGCTATAGACTTTTCGGCACTATTCTTTACAGTTTTAAAAGCTAGAGTTTACATTTTACATTTTACATCTTGGTTTCAAGGGTGACGCGGCGGTAGTGCACTTGCCTTTCACCTTTAGGGTTCGATTTCCAGACTTTAGGTCTTTCCCTTGATTCGAGGTTTAATTCTCTGGCTTTTCTCCCTCCGCAAAACCTAACACGATAAATTCCAATTACATCTGTGAGTTAGCCATGCCCTTACTTCGAACAGACCTGAGGCTGTTTCTGAGTATCGATAAAATTTTAAGGTTTTTAATTTTCCCTTGAAGTAAGGTAGAGAATTGTGTTAATTGTAAAAGAGGTCTTCACTAACTAGTCTAGTCTGCGTGCACGTGTCAAACGTTCCATACGATGGCCTCATTCAAAGCAATAAATACTTTTACGACTGCTAACAATATCCTTTGGTCAAATTCTTTAAGAGATTCTATCATGCGTTCATTGGTCCTTTGATTTAACTTGGAATTATATGACTTGTTCGTTGTATAAAAAATCAGTCGTTCACAGTAAATGCGCACTACTCACAAATATTTATCCGTCAAAATGTTTCCTGATTGCCCATCATTTTCTTAAACACTTATAAACAATATTTCAAATCCAGTATGAAGTTGCGCACTGCAGTCCTTTAATTAATAAAAAGCTAAGTAAAACTTCCTTAAAAAAGGAAGCCCTTTGAAGATATTGACTGCAATCTACGTTCACCATGATCCCCATCGGTCTGACCCGTTAAAGGTAAATTCGGTGTTATTAATATTCATTGTTACTACGCATCTCGACACAGCTACATTTGAAATATTATATGTATCTATATATTTTGGAACCGGCTCTTTTTGGTTCAGGTTTTTGTACGAAGCTTCAAAAATGAAAGACAGTAATCGCCTCTGTGTTGTCTTGGGCCAAGGTTTTCCAACAGTAAGCTAATGTTTTCTGGCTTTGTCGTATTTGAAGCTGTAACAGTTCTACTCCCTAAAAGGAAATCGAATGAAATATGCATTAAATCGAGAAGCCTTCCTTTAAGGAGAGTGATGGGAGGGGTCATTTCTCAACCCCCTTTCTCTTCTCTCCCCTTTCCCCCCTCCCCCCTTCCAACCACATACACACACACCTTTTATGGCCGCGGCGCAGGCTTGTGTGACTTACTAAAATTAAATCAGCCATATGAATCTTTTACTGAGCATGGCACTCGGCATCATATCCCCATTTATATGACGTTTACGAGATTATACTGGCGCATTATTTACCCTTGGTAAGAAAATAAGACATGTAGACAATTAATCATGTCAAACCTTCGTTTCCAGCCAAATCCTAGATAAAAAGTTGAGCTATTATAATCTGAAATGGTCAACTGAAAACGCTAAGAATTCCACTCATTCACRAACGCCCATTCCTTGACGTCATCATGAATGATACCGGTAGACTTATGTTACCGTTTTGTAGACTTAATTTAGAATATACCRTATTCCTTTGCATTGCTTTATTTGGAAATCAGTAGAAATAGACTGAAGTCTGTTTCTGGTGACCTTGTGACTCCAAACCTACCACAAACCAAATATAAAACCTATTTTATCTGAAAATAGATGACCTAAAGGAATTTAGGGAAAGGTAGTGCTGAAACCGTGAAGGTTTTCAAAAAAAAAAAAAAAAAAATTGAAACTCCAATAATAGAAATAACACCGAGACTACATTCTACTTTGATAACGGATTTCCAGCCTCACCAAATCTCGTTTTTTATGTTGACCTATACTATACATTGGTTAAAAGCTGCATCTTTTGCGTGAAGGAAAGGAGCAAGGAGCGAGTAACTAGGGGATTCAATTTTAACATCTGTTACCTCTGAATTTTTTTTGGAAATGCTCTTGAATCCATGATACTCAATAGTTTTAGATTTACCAAACCAAAATTATTTAAGGCAAAGGTGAGAGTCTTCCCGACGAATAGAATGTATCCTTGTGCAATTAAAAGACAATTAAAAATGGATTTCTCGTTAAACTGAAGTAATGAGAGCGCCTGATGCCAGACGTATTATGAAACAATTCGTAAATTGAATCGCAAAAGTCGCAGATCAGAAGTTTGTAGACACCTTTGTAGTCTTATAAAAAAATAGTTGAAATTTCTGTTAAAGGTGTCTTAATTGAGAGGTCAAGAGATGGAAGAAATCAGAAACATATTAAAAAAATATCGATAAAAAGTGGTGATTGAGAATTTCAAGAAATTCACTGTTGTGAGCTAAGGCAATAACAGCCTGCTATTTAATATTGGCTTGCATTTAACATGACTTAAGCGACATCGAGCACCTTAATGGTTTATGTCACTATATGCCTCAGTTGAAACAGACTTTTGTCGAAGATTGCGCATCAATTTTAAACGCACGTATTTGTCACGAAAGAGTGGATTACTACTTTCATGAAATTAAAAGTTGAACAAAAGGGAATTACAGTCATAAAGCAGCTATAATCGTTCAAATTAAAATTTCGTGACTACAAAAATTAATCTTAATGAATCGTTTAATCGACTGCGTTTAAAGCGGATATTGGTGCTATTCGGCATATACTAAATAAAGAGGACGTTTTTATTGGAAAACCTGGTGATACAGGAAATGGTTATGTTTAGTCGGATTCTTATAGGTTTTCAGATATATGGTTTTCAAATATCCAAGTTTGGAAAGACGGTTTAGCGGAACGGATTTGTGGTATTTTGTCAATTGTTTGATACAGTCCCATTCAGAACTGCCGCACTCAGGTAAGACGATCTTGTTTATTTAGTTAAGGGTCATTAACAAATATAAATGTTTTTCAAACTAACAAGATCATAACAATAAAACTTTAAGAATATAAAGAGATTACCTGTTTCTTAAAACTTCTCCTAAAGTATTATCCACTCTGTACGCCTTCAGGTAGCACTAACTCGTACTCCCATGGCCATAATGATTTTCGCCTTTCCATGCCTTCCTGCTTCAAGATGCTCATCCCCGAAGTTTGTCGTAGGTCTTCTACGATATCGTACATGTCAGACAAGGTTTTGCCATCAAAGGTAGCAAAAAGATTAACAGCTTCGTAATCGGGCGGCTGCATAAAATAATGAAGTAGTTCCCCATCTTTAAGGCATTGCTTTAGCAGGTCTAACAATCCCAAGAATCTTGCTGTTATTTTTTCTGTCGCCCATTCGTTGGGGTCTGGAAGGGCGTCTGACGCGTGAAAAAGGAGATGCATAAGATGAAAGGAAGAAAGACTCTTTAGCTCATCTTCGGTATCACGGAATTCTGTAAGGATTCTTAGAAGCTGCATACGACATCCGGATGTTCCAATAGCTCTTAGCTTGTTTTTCTCTGCCACATGAAATGATAGCCTCCACATCAGCTCCTTGTGATGATAAGTTTTGCAAACAATATGCGAAGACGAAGGACAGTTTTTTCGTGACGGATCCAGGCGGGAGTCAGGATTCACGAAAGCGGGTAGTACATCGATCGATATGTCCCTATTGACAGTTAGCCTTATGACGGGACCAGGTTCCATCTGAATGCTGCTCAAACCCTTGGATAACTTATCTCTGTGTCCTTCCTTGATATGCATATTCAGCATAGCGACTGCCTTTTTTATGTATTTTCGGAGTAGGGTATTCACTTTGGAAGCTGAAATAAAGCCATTGGCCGTCTGACAATCATCCCAAACTTTAACGCTCGTAGAGGTGGGTTGAATCCGGACTCCTCCAGTCTTTGCGTCCCGTGCCATGTACAAAGCAGTGGTCGGTCCTAACGACAGCTGGACTAGCATGTCCATCTGAATAGGCTCCTCAGCCTGAAGGCCATCGTAAGGTATTCCCTGAGACACCAAACTATTTGCACGGAAACGGTTATCGACTGACTCTATTTTACGCAAACATTTGTGTACAGCATTGTAGGCAATCTCCTCGCAAATTTCTTTACGCTCTAGGCTGAGCCGGGCACGGTTCTCGTGAAAACTGTAGAGCTGAATTGCAATAGGGTCTAATTGAACCTGTGGTTTTTTGATAGTGCTTCTTCGCCTATCAGGGGTTTCAGGGATCTCAAACCTCCATTTGGTTTCGGGTAATGAATCACTGTTATACGAATCTTCCGAGGCCCACGATTCGTTGTCGGACGAAGTTTCCGTTATTTGATCGTTTGAGTTCGAGTTTTCTATCGCTGAACCGTTCACGTTCGAGTTTTCAGTGGAGTTTTGAGTTGGTGCGGGTTTATCGACATTCTCGGCAGATGCGCTGTCGTCCGGGGAGAAGTTTTCGAGATTCATCTCAAATATTCTGCCRCCTCTTTTCCCAGACATTGCTCTTGGTGGTAAAACGTTTTTCTTGATTTCCTTGCTGCAAGGGTCCCAAATTTGTAGAGTAAACGAACGCTGTCTAGAGCCGGTCTGCTGTTGGGATTGTTTATAGTTCGATCGTTGCAGCCTCTGTCACACTTTGACTGCAGTTGCTCGTCTGCTGTGAATATTRTCAGTCGGTCACGAAATGCCAGAAATTTCCGGAAGTGAAATTAAACAGTCATGTAAAGTGGAGCACGAAGCTGTGAGTCATAAACGTAAAAATCTAGAGCTCTTTCTATTGCGCTTGGACTGATGTATTGCAACACAGCTTTGCTCGACGACCCGTTAAATTTAATCAAAGTCAAAATAGTTGACAATAACTTTAGTGTATATATAAAAAACCAATGGAATGGGGGTGGAGTTGTCTATAGTAAAACTATTATAACGTGGTTACCTTAGAAACGCCAACCTTATGACCTCACGGCAATCTTGGCTTATCAGAACCCTAGTGTTATTTCATTTGGGTTTGATGACACGTATATTTACATTCTGACACTACTATAAAAGGACTCGTAATCTAATCTTTATATATTCTTCCAATAATTTTTTAGCTCCCTATACCGATCCCTTTATTTCTTTTTGGTACTGATACAACTTTTTCTTGCGATTCCTTTTGCCTAGAACTCAATATTTACATTATACGAATTGGAATAAAAGACAAAGCTACAACTTTGAAAATGGTAATATCCTGATTCTATTAACAGATGCACTCAAAGCGTGACGTTGTCTCGCATTCTTTTAGAGAGTTGACGGCATAAGATACCATGATGTACGCTTAAGACAAAGGGCAGTCGAAGCTGTAGGATAGTGAAGGTGTTAGCACGGTTAAATATGGTATGAGTTGATAAAAGAGTGACGAAAACATCACTGGAATGTTTTATGTTTGCGTAGGTCTGTATTGAAGTATCAGATTGATGGCGTCATTCAATGTGTACATTATATATGCCACTGCAGATATTATGTTGATTCTCGACATTTTGTTTTAAAAAATAAAATGTACGTTTATACTGATTGGTTTTCTCACTAAACCCAAGCAGCAATATTCAAGAAGTACAAAACATTGTACCCTGCTGGTTTAATTAAGCTTGTTTTAATATTTTCCCAAAAGATCACTAAAGTGATCTCGAATTTTTACATTAGACATAGATTTGGATGAAGGCAGGAGGAGAGCATTGAACAATCAAGGAAAAAGGACATGAAAAAAGCTATAGAAAGAGAAAAAGTCTTTTCTCTTCAAAGCTAAAGGATCATCCAGTCAGCATTTGAAAAAGCATGCCCACATTGGCAATCAACCAAAAGTTCTTCAGGCTMTAGCACAAATACCTGAAATGTTACTGCTGGCGTTCTGAAATGAGAAGGACTTGTATGAGAAAGAGAACTGAGGCCTTGCCAGCCTTGTTTTCATGTTTTGCGGCACATTTTGAGCAAATTATTTTGGCATAGGGTTTATTGATTGACTGGAAAACTGAAATTAACCCTCTTAATAAAAAGGGTTGCCCAGATCCCTTAGTCCTCGCCAACATTAGAGGGTGCCATGGGGACACCCAATCGGTCAATTAATGCTAATTTTTTCGGTCGAATGTCAGCTAACTGTAATAATTTTACGAGCGCTGGCCATAATATTAACCAAAATAATGAAACATCAGTTAACTGTCAACTACTAATTTTAGGTTATTTGTCAGGTAACTACTTTTTTTTTTGCCGGTTGTCRGTTAGGACCAACTTCATTAGCACCAGCGTCCATTAGACGTCAGCGTCAATCTCGTTTACGGACTTGAAGGTTTTGAAAAATGTAATTTGTGGCGATCGTGAGGCACGAGATTGAAATAAATTAATATTTTGCCTGCTTGTAGCACTATTCCTATGTTGCTCGTGAACTTGAGCGTGGGGTCCTTAGGGACCGTGAAGTGATATATAATTCGGGCCGACTGTGTTAGCGTGTCATTAACGATCAGCTTTGGCGCGTCTCTGCTGTTTCAACTCCTCCAATTTATTGTTGTTACGTTTACGCGTTATGCACGAAGCGAAAGTTGTAGAGTGCATCAACTGAGCAAGAATTGCTCTACTTGTCCACTTCTCATCAAGATCAGACATTTATGATGTCTTTATTAACGTCCGTTTTTAAAAGATCCGTAGCAAAGAATCATTGACAGCTTAAATGACGTGGATCAAAAATATGCCGAAATGAGAACCTGGCTGCTCCCTCGAGCTCGTTTAAAAGGAAGATGACTAAGAATTGAAGAGATCCAGCCAAATCTGCAGCCCAACTGACTTAGATCAATAAGATCATGAAAAGAGAACCAGCTCTCGTCTTATGTTAAACTAAGAGGACTAAATCAGCATGAAGCCAAATTAAGGCGAAATGGAGGTTTTTGGAGATGCTCAAACTGTTCAAACATCGTGAGATTTAGTGAGAACTAAATATAAAAACCTTAGGTAGATCTTCGGTGCTTTGCTTTGCCGGCTGTGGTGTTCATTGCCCCCAACTTTGTTAACTTCTCGACATGTACAGTTAAATGACTATCTAATGTATTAAGTTTAGAATTTCGTTGGTTCAGTTGGTTGGCATACTGAAATAAGTGTTTGTTTCCTCAACCAAATTAGTTTTAATATAAGCCGAGCTTTCGGGCATACTCGCTGCATACTCACCCATCCTCAGGGTACTATGGAATCAACGGTAAAACTATCACGATTACAAACATATATGCACGTGCTACACACGTTAACAAACATTCATTTCGCGCGCTGACATAAACGCGCGAGTATCAGTAAAATAAATCAAATAAGTTGCAGATTTTTCCAGGCAGTTTTTAATGCTCAAGATGAATGAAGGTTGTATACCAATAGTATATATGGATAGGGTTAAAATATTTAAGAGTTTTTTTCTTAGGTTTTAAGCTCATACCCGGGGGGGGGGGTACTCCCCTATATTTGCTATACGGGTATGTGCCGCCCTATAGGGTATGGTTTTTCGGCTTTTGGGTCTGGGGTAGGGCATCATTTTTTGACATTTTGTCTGGGATAGGGTATCATTTTAGTCTGGAATAGGGTTAACGATTTGGTCATTTTTGTCTGGCGAATAGGCTACGCTTTCTGCCGGCACAAAAACAATAAAAACGTTAGTAAATATTGATTGCAATCTATTGAAAAACCGTCTTTTCCTTCTTATAGTCTGGGATAGGGTGTACAATTAGTTTCAGTCTGGGGTAGGGTATGTAAAATCAAAGTTTTAGGTCTGGGATAGGGTCAGGGTTTTGAGGTCCTGGCGGCACACCCCTACCCAAGTTGTTTTTCACTGTAAACATGAGTAAAACCTCCCCAGAAACTTCCAAGTCGACGACGTCCTCTACCTTATCATCTGGCTCGCCTTCAGCGTYGCTGTCTCCAGAAGTTATGGCGGCTATTCAGCTCGCTGTCAGCCAGGCAATGGCGGCTCAAAACACCACATCAACTCAAGGCTCTTCGTCGCTCCTTGATGGCCCGTTCACCTCTACAATAACGTCTTTTCTAGATCCAAGCGGAGCTGTACCTCCCAGTCAAAYCCCAGCAAGCTCCCTCAGCGCAGGTAGGTCCACAGTTCCTTCCTTTTTACCAACATTTTCATTGCCAAACGCCAACGCTTCATTGCCTCCCTCATTAAGTGTGAGCTCCACTGGCAGTACGCCAAGCTCGTTGTTTTCAGCGTCATCCCCCTGGGCTTCCATCAAACCCACATTATACAAGCCTTTCGTAGTAGGCCTTGGGTATTCGCCCATTCCATCCAATTTGGTGTCACAGATTGTTTCAGGAAAATTTATCGTCCTGAACRATTTGATGCCCGCGAACTTGGCCCCAGCAACGGCTGATGAGCCCCAACTCATGCTAGATGGTCGTTTAGTGCTTACAAGCCAGCCAAAGAAAACCAAACGCCGATTCGACGACATAGTTAGTTGGACCGAGGCGTTTTCTATCTTCTCACTGATACTGTCATCCCATTTTCCTCAACGCTGGAAGGACCTGGTCTTRCATAAACTACTTATTGTCCGCACTTACCGTCTTTTCGGGGGCCGTGCGTTGTTTATTTACGACCAAGCCTTCCGCGAACACGCCGCGGCAACTCACCTGACCGACTGGTCACAGATAAACGTCCAGCTTTACAACTTCCACACCGCTGGCGCATCCCAAAGGCCATCTTATAGCACTTATAGCAGCACCATTTGTATTTCATGGAATAAGGGGCATTGTTCATCGCCCTACTACCCATGCCGGTATGCCCATAAATGTTCTAAGTGCTCGGGCAGCCATCCTGCAGTCGATTGCCACCGCGACGAGAATCCCGCGTCTGAGAGAATGGGCCGTCCTGCATCGCCTTCCTCTTCACACACAAAGTACCGTAAGTACTGACCTTGGCCCGGCTTTCCAGGCACTTTAGCCTCGAGTTTCGTATGTGTTGAGTKGCATTTACCATGGTTTCAGGCTGGGCTTCAACGAGGCTCCCCTTAAGCCAGCTAAGCGTAACAAGAAGTCTGCAGAAGAACACCCCGTAGTGATTGACGAGAACTTGAGCAACGAAGTGGCTTTAGGCAGGGTCGCCGGCCCATTTGATCATCCACCCATACCGAACCTGCACATAAGCAGTTTCGGAGTTATCCCCAAGAGCGGCCAACCGGGAAAGTGGCGTCTCATTGTGGACTTGTCCTCCCATGAGGGCTCGAGTATGAACGATGGAATAGATCCGGACAGCTTTTCCCTTCAATAAATAAAAGTCGATGACATCATAACAATGATTAGCAAGTTAGGCATTGGTACGCTTATCGCTAAATTCGACATTCTGTCAGCCTTTCGGAATGTTGCTGTTCATCCTGCTGATCGCGTTCTCTCAGGAATGAAATGGCGTAATAATTACTATGTGGACTTAGCCCTTCCGTTTGGTCTTCGTTCCGCAACTTTTATCTTTGACTCAATCGCGTGTATGGTGGAGTGCATTCTGCGCCATAATTATGACGTCTCTGACCTGCTACATTACTTAGATGACTTTATCATGGCGGGCCCTCCAGGTGCCAATGTGTGCAGCCGCAATTTAAGCACCACCATCAACGTCTGTTCGTATCTCGGCATCCCTCTTCACCCCGAGAAGTGTGAAGGTCCATCTACCTCACTGGTGGTTTTGGGTATCGAACTCGACTCTCTTAATCAAGTTGCCCGCTTACCGGAGCTCAAGCTAACCAGGCTGCGGTTGTTGCTCGACTCTTGGGCTAATCGTCGATGGTGCCGTCAAAAGGACCTCGAATCTCTTATTGGTCACTTGCTCGGGAGCCTAACTGGA